CTTGACCTGGAGTCAGGATACATGGAGTCAGATCCTACTAAAGCAGCGGTATTCAACCATTTTGTTGGCTGGAACAATAGCACAGTGGTAGGGCGTTTGCCTTGCAAGCGGCCAGCCAAGCCAACCCGCGTCCGATTCCTCCGCCCCTCTCGAAGAGCCTGGCAAGCTACCGAGAGTATCTCGCCTGCATGCCAAAGCCTGGAAAGCTACCCATGACGTATTCGATATGCCAAAACAAGGTAACAAGTCTCACAAGGGAGACGTTACTAGGCCCGCTCGAGCAATCGATGAACAACGGGAGGACAGTGCTAAATAAGACAGTGCTATTTTTCTAAACATTTTTTATTGGGGGAAGGGACTCCCCTCCCCACACACACACTCACACAAGTGATTCTCAGAGTGTTCCTCACCTGGTGCTCTGGGGACCATCTGGTGCCAGAAATCAAACCAGGGGAATCCCACGTGCAAAGCATGTCCTCCCATCCTTTGAGCTATCTCCTCAGCCTTGTTTTCCATCTTTTATACCAGCACATGTTCACAGACCAGTGGTTAAACCATTGCTCTCAACTCACCGAGGCAGACCAATGATTTTCAACATTTTTATCTCCGCAAACAGAAACCATGGACTAGCGGTCAAAAACCAAGTTCTTCTACCTCCTTTTGCCCTCCTGGACTAGCTGCTTGTTATAGTGACAAAGATAAATTCATGCACACAGGGCAAGTGCTCGACCACAGTACGACAACTCCAGCCCCCAGCGCTAAGGTTCTTAATGTGTACAACGAGGATGTCAAATCAGATGAGAGTTTCTGTGCCTCTTAGTGATGACATTTTATTCTACTACCTTGCATCCACTTGTTTCAGAATAGCAATCACACAATCACAAATCATCCTGTTAATCGTCGATTGCCTCGAGCAGGCCCCAGTAACGTCTCCTTCATCCTAGCCCTGAGATTATATTCAAGTCTCTTTAGGAGAATGAGACCCATCATTGTTACTGGTATTTGGCATATTGGGTACGACACAGGGAGTTTGCCAGACTCTGCCGTGTGGGCAGGCTACATTCGGTAGCCTGCCAGTTTGTCCAAAGTAGGAATGAGATAATAAGATGTCATAATAAGATGTCGCGCGGTCGCATTTGCATTTGCGGCCGCGCGGTTCCGGGAACTGGTTTTTATAGTCTCTGAGTCTTGGCCGCTGATGGGATTACACGGCGCCAGGGGGCCAGTTGGTGGGTGTGACCCCCGCCTTCAGAATAGCAGCAGAGACAAACATGGGCCGGCTCCCACTACTATGGAGGTGATGCTCAAGTAAGAGAGGGTTAGCTGGGGTTTGGGACAAACCAAAACTGTCATCCTGGCATGAAGTAATCCCCAGGTTAAGCAAGGAAGGTGTTCAGGGTGAGGCCCCGGCCTTATAGTTCCAGGGAGACTGTACTAATTTCTCAGAGAACTAAAATTCACTCACATGCCCAAGTTGTTACAAGCTGAAAAGCAAAAAGCCTGGTAAGGATCTTAATAGGAGCTAAATCTCTATTTTTCAGAAAATGAGTGACTGTTACTCATTGGATGGAGAGGGGATGAGGCCAGGCTCTTTATGAAAGGCAGATAAACACTCTCCTTGTCCTAAGAAAACTATCCTTATGTGCTCAGACATATGGGCATATATAATTTTATCTGCAATTAAAAGAGGCTCACAAATTCCAAAAAATCTTTTCCCCCCCAGACTTTAGGTATCTCTGAAATTACCCTAACCTGTTCCAGGTTTGTCTTTCCATGATATTCAGAACTGCCCGAAGAGCTTAGTTGGGTTTTCAAACAGCTGTGATTAGAAGACAAATAAATCATCTCTTGGAAAAAGCACAGAGCCTTCTCTTCCTGCCACCTACCAATTTGAATTGGGAGAATTTGAATAAAAAAAGATCTATGATTTAATTCCAAAACACCAGGGGATGATGAATAACAGGACTCCAAGAATATATCCCTTTTCTGTCTAATCCATAAAACCTCACAGAACCTGTTATGAGATGGAATAGACAAAAACATCAGAAGTCTGGGGCTGGAGAGATAGTACAGCGGGTAGGGCATTTGCCTTGCATGCGGCCGACCCAGGTTCGATTCCCAGCACCCCATATGGTCCCCTGAGCACCGCCAAGAGTGACTCCTGAGTGCAGAGCCAGAAGTTATCCCTGTGCATCGCCAGGTGTGACCCAAAAAGAAAAAAAAATTAAAAAACATCCGAAGTCCCCATAGCATTATGCTCCTCATTCATTCCAAGGGGGAAAAAAAAAATCAGTCAAGATGGCCAATCAACCGATTAGGTGACTTTTCTCCCATATGGGCTTTGAAAACTGTAGGTTACCAAAGCAACCATATAAACTTCAGCCATAACTGAAGCCATAACTGAAGGACATATATTGTCTGCCTTAAGCCTGAAAACAGCCTAAGCGTTGATGAGTTTGGACAAACGTGCACAGTTTTGTGAATCAGTGCATCCCAATGGTTCCCTGAGCCCCGCCAGGAGTGACTACTGAGTGCAGAGTCAGGAGTAATCCCTGAGAACCAGGGATATGGCACAAAACAAACAAACAAACAACAACAACAAAAAACACCAAAACCCAAAACAAAAACCAAAAACACACAAAAACAAACATGTGCATAACATAAAGAATTTATTCTTTATCTTGTTTTCGTTACACTTCTGTAGTTATAAAACCTAAAATCTGTTATCTCATTTAAAATTTTTAAAAACAAAGTCAAATTTAGAAAGGAGGTAAGTGGAGAGAGAGGAATCCACATACAAATATGACAGAAAACTAGTGGAAGAGACTGCATAGAAACTGGAAAAAGTAAAGCGCTCAGCCCTGGCCCCACCCCCTCTCTCCTTCCTCTCAAGACACCGCTGACTTCGAAAACCACTCAGGATTTCCACTGGGAATGAATAGCTCAGGCCCCCTCTAGCTGTCAGCTATCAATGACAATTGGGAGACAGTAGATTGAGGTTGAGAAAAGGTTAGTACAGTTCAAAATCCTGCCTTTTATAACTGGAATGCTGATTCCTAAAGCTAAAATACGAGAGTCAAAAACAGGTGATGGAAAAGAATCCTCCCTAAGCACTCGGTGAAACAGCACAAAGGGGTGAATTCAGCAACCACATGCATTTCAGCAGCGACCATGCAAGAGGGAGGTGCGTTGCAACACGGGCAGCGCAACCCCCGGCTCCCACCGCCTGCATCTCAGAGAGGCCTCCTCAACCCCAGGGACAACCTCTGGGCTACACAAATGTACTGCAATAGGTCCAGCCACTCCGACCGCCCCATGGGGAGCATTAACTGCAACTAAAGATGATGAAGGAAGATATCCTCTAGATTTAAGTGCCCTGCTTTATGAGACCCATAAAATAAATCATAACCTCGTGTACTTTCCACGATAATTCTTCTGCAATGCCACTTTATAAAGTAAGAAGTTCCTTCCACGCGGGCTTTCTAGAGGCAGCAGGTCATAAAAGAAGCGCAGCTAAATGTAATAACATACAGGTGCCATAAGAAGTCATCCCTCCCCCTTGGAATTTAAGGGACATAAAAGAACTCCCCCTCCTGCTTGCTCCCCTCCACATACTTCCCTTAGTGACACTGAAATGTCCCCATAGTCATTCAGCCCATCAGCTGAGAATTAGCCTAAATGTACTCTTAGAAACATTCAGTGCCTGACACAGTAGTGTAGCAGATACTAACTTTCATTTTTCTAGTATAGGTCCTTTTGAGAAACTGAAAAAAGCAGACTCCCTACCCAGAAAACAACAGAACTTACATAAATACACAGTTTAGTTTCCATGCAATTTGGGGGGGGGGGGGGGCTTGAAGGAACTAAAATGGTCGGTGGAATGCCCAAAGACAATGGAAACAACTGAGAATTGGTCTTCAGCAGGAAACATACCACTCTGGAGGGGGAGGGGCCTGGGGATAGGGCAGGGAAGTGACTACAACCTTGGTGGAGGGAAGTGTTCAAGTGGGAGGAAAAGGGGGTGCTGAAAGATATGGGGATGGGGGGTGGTCAGGGAGGACATTGGTGGAGGGAAGTGGACACTGGTAAAGGGATTGATGTTGAAACATTGTATGCCTGAAACCCAATCATAAATCATTTTGTAATTTTATAATGACTAAATACAATTTTTTTTTTTAAAGAAGAGTGGGGCTGGAGCAATAGTACAGCGGGCAGGGCATTTGCCTTGCACGTGGCCGACCCAAGTTCAATTCCCAGCATCCCATATGGTCCCCTGAGCACTGCCAGGATTAATTCCTGAGTGCAGAACCAGGAGTAACCCCTGTGCAACGCTGGGTGTGACCCAAAAAGCAAAAAAAAAAAAAAAAAAAAAAAGAGTCCCTGCCTCAGACATAGTATAGTACAGTGATAGGGGCACATGCACCTCATCAGGGTTTGAGTCCCAGCACATATCCTGGTGCATCCCCGAGGATCCCTGAGCATCACAGGTGGAGGCCCCCAGCACGAGTGTGGTGTGTGGTGGCAGGGTCAAAACAGCATCAATCCTCTGGCCCTTTTGCTGAGCCAACAGCCACCAAGCCGAAAACTGGCCACCTGGACCCTCCTGAGGACCACTTGGCGGCAGCGCCCCCTCCCCTAAAGAAACCTCGACCCAACAGCAAGGCAACTGATATCTAAATCCACTCCAACTCTCCATCCCCAACTTGAAGCAACTGAGGAGCCCCAGGTCCACACCAGAAGGCCCTACTGAGAGGAGGCTTTGACAATCTCCTAAATTTGCTGAGAACTGACACTCACACCCAGGTCCCATCTCAGCAAAGCGTGTGGGCCTCCCACTGCCTGCATCTCTGAGCCAGGCTTCCTGACCCCAGAAACAGCAGCACACGTCAAGACACCTCCAGCTGCTATCCACTGCCAAACAGGTCTCAAAACCCTTGCTGGCTCTTCACATTACCTGAGCTGTGGCCAGTTTTAAGGCCGATGAATAAAAAGGGGCTCACCTCTGAGGTTTTCGAATATCCCAGAGTCCCACTCCTTCCTTCGAATTGGCCGTGGCTAATAACCTGGGCTCCACTGGATTAAACATGACACTGTGGAAAGCTGATGGGTAGTTTGCCAGGCAGAAGGGCTCTGCAAAGAGAGAAATTTGTCAGGTTATGGCAGGAATCTCTGGGCCAGGCAGCAGGCAGACAAGCAAGAATCTTAAGAAGAGCACCCAGGGGGCCAGAACCCCAACACAGTACACCATTCCAAGTTACCCTATTGCCGGGAACCAAGACCTAGGGCATATTCTACATAGAAAATCTAAAACTGGCATCATAAATACACATGTGAACAATCTTTAAGCCATATTAATATATGTTTGCACATACATATATATGTGCATATATTCAAATCCAGTAATAATATAGAGATGGACAATGTAAATGAGACGGTAAGCTGTTTCAAAGTAAATAAAACTCAATACATGAGCTGAAGAACTGTATGACCATTTGATCATTTACTGGCAGGATTGGGCTGAAGTGACAGCAGAGCGGGCAGGACGCTTGCCTTGCACGCAGCCAACCCGGGTTGATTCCTCTGACCCAGGTTTGATTCCTCTGACCCTCTCGGAGAGCCCAGTAAGGTACTGAGTGTATCCCGCCTGCATGGCAGAGCCTGGCAAGCTCTCCGTATTTTTGGCATATTCGATATGCCAAAAACAGTAACAACAAGTCTCACAATGGAGACGTTACTGGTGTCCGCTCGAGCAAATCGATGAACAAAGGGAGGACAGTGCTACAGTGCTACTAGCAGGATTATTATACCTGAATCTAAATGTGCTTTATTGAAGGGGGTCTCCCAAATGTGCTCGGGGACCTGGGACCACTTTTGGCAATAATCAGCTCCTGTAGGTTGATGGTTCAATGCTGGGGTCGAAGGAAAAAGTGCTGCTTGGGCCTGGCAGTGCCACTGACCACCAGGGCCATCCCAATATTGCTCAAAGGCCTCCAGGACTATATTGAGAGTGCCCGGGGGCCATACAGCTCTGGGGATAAAACCAGGGGCTTTGCATGACCCTTGAACCCTGCTCCAAATGTATTCATTAAAAATATTTTAAAGTTTTTATAAAGGTAGGAAGATGTAATCCTGAAATTTTATAGTACTATAAATTAATGGTGAATCAATAAATTTTTTAAAGAGAAAATGACAAGGAAATTAAAAAATTAAATATACAAAATATTAAAAATGTTTAAACTTCAGAGGGACAGAGTGATAATACAGTGGGCAGGATATTTGCCTTGCACGCAGCTGATCTGGGTTTGATCCTCAGCATTCCATGTGGTCCCCTGAACAGCACCACCAGGAATAATTTCTGAGTGTAGAGGCAGAAGTAACCCCTGTGTATTGCTGGGTTTGGCATCCCCCACTCCAAGCCCCCAGCCCCCAACACATACTGCCAAAAAAAATTTCTTTTAACTTTACAGGTGTAGTGAAGGCAAAAACAAAGACAAAGGAAAACAATGGTATACTTTCTCCTTTTGCTACATATTGTTCCCAAATTTTAAAAGAAAACAGTCTCAGTCTACATTTAGGAGATTCACTCCCCAGTACTGAAACACAAAAAGAATAAGGGGAATGGACAATGAATACTCAAACTTCTCTTCATCCCATCAGCTTTATTTCAGCTTTCCTTTACCTCACCGAGAACCCCTGCAGGCCTCTGAATGTATTAGCTGGCCCCAGCTGAGGAAGGAATCACTTCACTCCAGGGGAGAACATAATTCTACAGGCGCTGATTTTAAAAGAGAAGACAGAAAGCACCCGAGTCCACAGCTTCCAAACATAGTATTTCATGGCTTCTCAGTCAGCTCAGCCAGCAGATAATTCAAGCAAAGAAGAATCTTGCCTATTAAGCGCACAGACTCAATCACAGCTGCTACTTGCAGCCACCTTATCAATCTGACCCTAAGAACAAACTTCTCTTAAGATCTGAGGCTCAATAATGAGCATCGCCCAGAATGTGGAATGCTCAGAACAGAGCACAAGGAGAAGACCCGATCCTGCAGGATCTCTGGTTATTTCAGCAAAACGACGAGTCTGAAATGATGTGCATGTGAGCACCACGCTGAGCTGGCACCTAGAGGTCGCCCTCTGTAGTAAGGCACGACACTGGTTTATTCTTAAAACCACTGTTCAAGATACCTGTAGCAGTTAGTACAGGGATAAGAGCTGGTGGGGATTCACAGCTGATGGGAGGATTGGCAACTGGACCTTATTTCTGGTTACTTAGGGGCAAGATGAATTCCCCAGGAATATTTATGTCCTTATGGGTTTTCTCTTACTTTACTTACTCTCACCCAGATTCCTCAGGTAAAAGACCGGACCTGTCATAAATCAACATCAAACTTTATTTTTTTTTGCTTTTTGGGTCACACCCGGTGATGCACAAGGGTTACTCCTGGCTTTGCACTCAGAAATTACTCCTGGTGGTGCTCGGGGGACCTTATGGGATGCTGGGAATTGAACCCGAGTTGGTCGCGTGCAAGGCAAACGCCCTACCTGCTGTGCTATAGCTTCAGCCCCCTGACATCAAACTTCTTAATATAATTCCAGTGATCTTACCTCCATGGGGAGACTCTCGGATGTCCCAGATGAGAACTCGGCCATCATCTGACGAGCTGGCAAAAATATTGTCATTTACTGGGCTCACTGACAAGCCATACACTGCATCTTCATGAGCAAACACGTCCAAGGTCTCGCTGCTGAGAGAAAGGGCAGAAAGCATATTGGCATAGACATAACAACTGTGCACAGACTCAGGCCTCCACACCTGCGGGTGGAGATCTCGTTCACTTCCAGAGGCAAGGAGCCTAGCTAAACCCAAGGAGACATTCAGCTTTTAGGTGAGAGAAAATATTAAAAGAGATTTTGTGGGGAGGAGGGGGTTTGTGAAGGGCTTGGATGTTGCTCCTGGTAGGGTTCAGGGGATTATGCAACACCAGGAATCGAACCTAGTCCACCCACATGCAAAGCATGCACCCTTGCCACTGAGTCATCTCTCCAGACCTAAGGAGACTTTCAGAGATTTTACAATATGTTTGCTTTTTGCCTAGATAGCGATAGCACAGCGGGTAGGGCGTTCGCCTTACAAGCGGCCAACATGGCCGACCCGAGTTCGATTCCTCCGCCCCTCTCGGAGAGCCCGGCAAGCTACCGAGAGTATTCGATATGCCAGACACAGTAACAGCAAAGTCTCCAATGGAGACGTTACTGGGCCCGCTCGAGCAAATCGACGATCAACGGGAGGGCCTTTACCTTACCTTAGGGCTGGAGCGATAGCACAGCGGGTAGGGCGTTCGCCTTACAAGCGGCCAACATGGCCGACCCGAGTTCGATTCCTCCGCCCCTCTCGGAGAGCCTGGCAAGCTACCGAGAGTATTGGATATGCCAGACACAGTAACAACAAAGTCTCCAATGGAGACGTTACTGGGCCCGCTCGAGCAAATCGACGATCAACGGGAGGGCCTTTAAAAAATATTTTAAAGCAGCTCAATAGATAAGCTTTGCATATTAATTTTCTATAGAATATGTTTGTTTGGATACAGATTTGGGAATGGTGCTACATTTCTTTTTCTTTTCTTTTTTTTTTTTTGCTACATTTCTTAAAAAGTAAGGGAATGGGGAGGGTTGGAAAGGGGGGATATTCTAGGGACATTGGTGGTGGAGAATGTGCACTGGTGGAGGGATGGGTGTACGATTACTATATGATTGAAACTTAAATATGAAAACTTGTAACTATCTCACGGTGATTCAATTAAAAAAAAAAAGAAAGAAACTGAAAAAAGAAAAAAAAAGCAAGGGAATGGTTCAAAGCAGCCATTTTGCTACCCTCAGAAGGGGAAACAGCATGTCTGGGCAGTATACCATGATAGATAAGAGCACTGCTCTGAGGTCCGACTGCATAAGTTCAAATCCTACCACAAGCTCACCTGAAACTATCTAATAACCTAAACATCTCTTTTGTCTTCTTAACTGAGAGCATAATAAATCACCCTCATAAAATTGTGAGGGTTAAATGAATCCTACATATCAGCACTTAAATAGCATTTGGTACATCAAAAGAATTCATTATATATTAGCTATTATAATTCTCCCCTTCCTTCAACTTCCTTTGAATCTTCACCTGAAAAATGCAATTTTGTACCAACTTAAAAAATCTCTTTTAATCAAAATTTCATTTCAAAACTATTATAGGAAGCTTTTTTAGGGAAGAGCAGCTGGTTTTGTGTTATTTTCTTTAAAAACTATTTTGGTCTAAAGAGACATTTGCCTAAGAAAAAAAAGGAGAGATTTGCCTTTCTTCATATGAAAAAATAGTTCATCACCTTCACATATCAACAATCTATTTACCTTTCAACATCATGGAGAATAACTTGTTCATCATTTCCTGTGAGAAGAGAAAAAAGAGACATTTGATAATTCCTTCAAAGTGGTCCCTATCTATAATACAATTTTGTAGCACTGTACCACTGTCCTCCTGTTGTTCATTGATTTGCTCCAGCGGGCACCAGTAACATCTCAATTGTGAGACTTGTTGTTACTGTTTCTGGCATATCGAATATTCCACAGGGAGCCTGCCAGGCTCTGCCATGCGGGCGGGATACTCTCGGTAGCTTGCTGGGCTCTCCGAGAGGGGTGGAGGAACCAAACCCGGGTCAGCTGTGTGTACAAGGCAAACGCCCTACCTGCTGTGCTAAATTTGCTAACAGACAGTAATACTAAGTATAAAAAAAAAAGAGTTCTATAAAATAATTTAAGAAGGATATGACATTCTTTGTGGGGCGCTGGAGGTACACTAGGGAGTGAAGTCAGGGTATGCTGTATGTGAAAGCGTATGCTCTGCTACTCTCCACCACTGAACTTCATCAACTCAGGTCAGATTTTTTCCTTTGGGTTTTCTTTGTTTTGTTTTGGTGTGTGTGTGTGTGTGTGTGTGTGTGTGTGTGTGTGTGTGTGTGAGAGAGAGAGAGAGAGAGAGAGAGAGAAACCCAATGGTACTCAGGAGACTATGCAGTATGCACACTAAAACAGGGGCTCCTGCATATAAAGCCTTTTGCCCTATCTCCCTGACCCATAAGTAAGACATTCTTCTTGGGACAGACCACACCCAGTGGTTTTCAAGAGTCACTTCTGTCTCTGCACTCAGAGGCCATTCCTGGCAGTGCTCAAGGAACCATATGTGGTACTGGGCTTCACAACGGGTTCAGGCACATGCAAGGCAGATGCCATATCCCTTGCATTATCTCTCCAGACCTCAAATAAGACATTATAGACTATTTTTTTATTATAGAGTACTTTAAAAGCATCAGAGTTAACTAGGTACAACATAATAAAAGGTTTCAAAAACACATTTTCTAGTATTCCACTTGGGACTCGCCCTGATCCCAACTTGGAATATACAATTCATTTTTTGTGCTTTAAGGTATTTCCTTTTTCTCTCCTTTACTTTCTAAATAAAACAATTTTACTTCAAACAACAACAAAAATGAAATGTACTATCCAGTGGATAATGTAAATAAACAACCACGGCCATTACGAAAAAAGGAAAATTTTCAGGAGCAAATCAAATCATTCAACCAAACTTTTTTTTTTTTTAGCATAACTGGAGCTCTGGAATAATATCAGTAACTCTTCCATGACTCAACCTTAATCTGTGAAAAAGGGATAATAAAAGTGTACCTAGAATGGTCTCACTCATATGCAGGAAGGATGTAAAGAAACATTGCAGGGGTTTAACTAATGCATGATGGCAACAGAAATGAAGAGCAGGAAAGCTGGTCCTTAGAACTGGTCCTTGCCACTGTGGAGGGCAGAGAACAGGTCCGGGAAGGGCCCACAATGACAATGATAAAGGGAATTGGACATTCTGGACAAGAGCTGGTTGCTGAAAGGAGATAAAGTGATATGCACGATACCCGAATCAGCAACAGTACTGTAAACTACCCTGAAGAAAAACCAAAAGTGCCTGTCTTGGAGGCAGGCTAGGGGACAGAGGGAAACTGGGAACACTGGAAGAGGGAAGGGGACACTGGCAAAGGGGTTGGTGTTGGAACACTGTACACTTGAAACTTAATCATGAATCACTTCGTAATTCAAAGTGATTCCATAATAAAAATATTTTTTAAGGTGTACCTGGGCTGGAGCAATAGCACAGCACAGCGGGTAGGGCATTTGCCTTGCATGCAGCTGACCCGGGTTTGATTGCTCCACCCCTCTCGAAGCGCCTGGCAAGCTACCAGGAGTATTTCACCCGCACAGCAAAGCCTGGCAAGCAAGCTACCCGTGACGTGTTCAATATGCCAAAAATAGTAAACACAAGTCTCACAATGGAGACATTAGTGGGCCCACTCAAGCAAACCAATGAAAAATGGGAGAACAGTGCTACAGTGCTACCTATTTTATAGGATTAGGGTAAATTTATATAGGCATTCAAAACAGAGCTAAGCACTTAAGCCCCCAATGTGCTGCCTGTCACATTTCATCATCTTGTAAATATTAAAATTTGACTGTGTGCTTCTAAATGGAAAAGTTTTTATCTACAACTTTTTTTCCTGCATTTCTTTCATCCATCAAGGACTCTAAAAGTAGAGCCAGAGAGGTAGTACTGTACTGTGAGGATGGAATTAGTCTTAAACACAGCAAATCTGTGCCAGATCCCCAAGACCACATTTGGTCACCCAAACACTACCAAGAGAGATCCCTGAACATTGAGCAAGGAGTAAGCCCTGAGTACCACAGGGTATGCCACCCCTCACCCCAAATAAAATTAAAGCACTGGGGCTGGAGTGATAGCACAGCAGGTAGGGTGTTTGCCTTGCATGCGGCTGACCCGGGTTCGATTTCCAGCATCCCATATGGTCTCCTGAGCACCACCAGGAGTAATTCCTGAGTGCAGAGCCAGGAGTAACCCCTGTGCATTGCCGAGTATGACCCAAAAAGCAAAAAAAAAAAAAAAAATTAAAGCACTATATAATATGTGTTAGTCCTGCCTTCAAGTGATTATAAAGACAAAAGCCCAAAACCTTAAGATAAAAAAGACAAAAAAGTAAAAAGTAATAAAATCCACACTAGGGGCTGGGAAGATGGCTCAAAGAGTAGAAGCACATGCTTTAAATGCAGGAGTCAAGGGTTTTGTCCTCAGCATGATATGTTCCCTAAGCACAGGGAGAATGACCTGAGCACAGCTGAATTCTCAATGGTGGGGGGGTTTGAAGGAGGAGAAGTCCAACTCTACGCAGAAAGTACAGCCAACAGTCACTGACAGAAAGTCAAAGTAGCAGGAAGGACAATCTTAAAGACCTGTCTTGGGTACACAGCAAGTAAACCAAAACCATACTAATGACTTCCACGTAACAGGTATCGTGCAAGGTGCTAGAGATAGGAGAATAAGATTCTGCCCAGTTCTTGAGGAACTCACAGGCCAACTGCACAATTAACAAGACGTGTTATCTTGAAGAGGGTAACAAATAAAAGAGCAATCATTTCCTTTATAAACAGTGAAAAATGCAAGGGGGAAAGCTTTTTTGTGGGAAAGGAGACATCCAGGCATTAAACATTCAGGTCTCAAAACTCTTACAAATGGAAGCCACAAAAGAAACTATGAAGACCAGATAGCTATGACCATGAAAGAACAGCAAATGCAAATGGCACAAGTGTACGTAAGTGGCAAGTGGCTTAGTGGACCAGAATATCATATGCAGGAGGAGGGAGCTAAGTCTAAATTGGGTACACAGCAAGTAAACTTTATTCCGTGGACTTGGTAAGATGAGATCTACATGGTCAAATCGTTTTTGTTTTTGTTTGTTTGGGCCACACCCAGCCATGCTCAGGGCTTGCTCCTGGAACTGTGCACAGGGATCACTCCTAATGGGGCTCTTGGGACCATATAGGGTGCTAGGGAATGAACCAGTGGCAGACGCATGCATGAAAATTTATATAAACAATGGACTAGACAGAGGGCTAAAGACGGGTAGCAGAAGTCACAGAGTGTCACTGCCAATAGTTCAGATCAATGAGGATTGATATTAGGGCAGTGGGTATAAAAACAAACAAAAAAATCCAGGACCCTGAGCAATAGTCCAGTGGGTACAGTGGGTGCACTTACTTGCCTTGCATACAGCTGACCCAGATTTAATCCCTGGCGTCCCATACGGTACCCTGAGCAACCCCAGGAGTAACTCCTTAGTGCAGAGTCAGGAATAACCCTTGAAGCACTTCGACTTAAGGCCCAAAAACCAAAGAAAAAGGAAAGAAGGAAGGAAGGAAGGAAGGAAGGAAGGAAGGAAGGAAGGAAGGAAGGAAGGAAACCTGAAAAAAAGCCTGAAAGAATGCAAGCCTTAAAGAAAGAAAACCTGAAAGAGTGAAATGAGAGGCTTTCAAAATAGCTCTGACAATCTAATTGATGATTAACTGCTAGTAATGAAAGAAAAGCAAGTTTTAAGATAATCCTGAAATTTTTATTAGGTCAACCCTTATGAAATTACATGAAATTAAATATTTTGTGGAGGATTTAGGACCATACCTAGCGGTGCTCAGGGGTTACTACCAGTGAGTTGCTTGGTGGTGATGGGTGAGGCGTCACTCCTGGCAGAGCTGGGGAAGGGGAGGGAAACCATGTAGTAGCAGAGATGGGGTCTTGGCCTTGGCCTTCCTCACGTGAAAGATGATGCATTTCAGTCCTCTGGGCCAGCTCCCCAATCAGAAATTGCAAAAATATCAACACTCTCACTCTATCTCACTCTCTCTCTATCTCTATCTCTCTCTCTCCCCTCCCCCAATCCTTTCCTCTTCTCCCCTTTTTCTTTTCCTTTCTCTTTTTCCAGCTAGCTCCCCAGTTAGAAATTGCTGAAATATCAACACTCTCTCTCTCTCTCTCTCTCTCTCTCTCTTCCTTTCCTCTTCTTCCCTTTTCCTTTCTCTTCCTTTCTCTTTTTTGGCTAGTTCCCCAGTTAGAAACTGCTGAAATATCAACAATTTCTCTCTCTCTCTCTCTCTCTCTCTCTCTCTCTCTCTCTCTCTCTCTCTCTCTCTCTCTCTCTCCTCTTTCACTCTTCCTCTTCATTTCTCTCCTTTTCTCCTTTCATTTTCCTTCTCTTTTCTCTTTCCTCCTTCATTTTCCTTCTTTTTTCTTTTCCTTCCTTTCCTGCTTCCTTTTTTTCTTTCACTCTAATTCTTCCTTCCTTTTTTTCCCTCTTCCTTTCTTTTTTATCTTTCTTATCTTTCCTCCCTCTCCCTCATTCTTTCTAAGACTTAAATCAGGTATTCAATTGAGACGGAAAATAAGAGACCCATAGCAGGTAGAATACCCGTCGCACAAGAGTAAAATATCCCCAACATTGCAATTTCTTCCTAATAGCTTGAATGGGAATCCAGGGAAAAGAGAAACATTTTATGAAGGAAAGAATTATAAGCTTAGCTTTAGATCTGTTGCTTTTAAACTGTTTCGGACTGTACAGGTTTTAGTGAGGGAAACATCCTGCACAGAAAAGATGTATGGGGACAGAGAGAACAGGGGTTAAGGCACTGCAATGCTATTGATCCCTGATTGATTCCCTGAATAGTGCCGAGGGTCATTGCTGGGAAAAGCCCAGAATGGGGCCTGATCACTGCTGTTTATGGTCTCAAATCCCCCCACCACCACAAGTCCCTAAAAAAGGGAAGAGAGTAGGGATTAGAAATGTGGCAGTTGGAAAGAGGTATGACCTTCACCAAGAGGCTGACTGGAGTATAAGCCATTTCCACTGTACACAAACATGATGCTTTTCAAATCAGAGCTATCCGTGGGTAGTGGCATCATTTTGAGCCAACTTTAACATCTAAAATATGAGGGTTAGGGATATGGCTCAAGTGGTAAAGCACATGCCTTGCACGTGGCAAGGCCCTAGGTTCAACCCCCAATGCACATGGCCCCCAAACATAGGGGTCTGGGGAGATAGCTCAGGGGCCAGGGGGACATTCCTTGCATGTGCAAGGACCCAGGTTTGATTCCCGGTACTCCATCCTTCTTCCCTCACTACTACTAGTATAGCCTTGGAGGCCCACAGCACTGCCTGGCCTGAACAGCTTCACATTTCAGGATCTGAGAAGTGCAACATTAGCTCAGTTGACCCAGTACCTCGGAGAGTGGCCCCACAGACTCCACCAGGCACTCAAAAAAAAAAAAAAAAGAATATACCACACATAATAAAGTAAGTACTATTTCAAATGCATATACTTCGATATACCAGATGGCAATGTAAACTTTTCTACTGAAAAATAAAAAGTGAGTGAAAGAGGGGAGAGAAGGAGAGTAGGAGAAAGGGGGAAAGGGAAGAATAGAGGAAGGAAAGAAAAGCACAGAAGGAGAGGGAAGAAGGAAGGGAAGAAGAAGGGCAAGAGGAAAGAAGATGGCAGGCAAGATGGGAGAAAGGAAAGGATTATAATAATGAAAGGAAACTAAGTTACTTTGGCACACCATCTAATATTCCAGTCAGGAGAGGTTCCCAAAATGAAAAACTCCCTCCTTCTCACCTCCAGAGAACACTTTGGTGTTCCCACTGTTGAAAGCCAGGCAAAATATGTTAGAATGGTGCTCTCCCTTTAGTTGTATGGGCTTGACTCTGGAATGAATCGCTTGTTCCATGTGCCATAGCAGAACCCGGCGATCGTCTCCTCCTTGAGAAGAAATAAGACAGAGTTAAAACAGCTGACATTCCCAAGCTGACACTGGTTTTGCTAGCCTGCTTCCCATCCTTTCCTTCTATATCTTCCCAACTCTAGAAGATTCTGACTGGGCACACAGGTATTCTACCTGCTTAGACACGTGGCCTTCCAGCCACTCACTTTCCCCTAGGGATTAAATCTTAAAAAGACAAAACAAATAGAAAGAGGGGGATGGGAGAGAGTATGCCAGAGTCCTGGGTTTGGTCCCTAACAAAGCACAATCCTCAAGGCAAAGAGCAACCTGGGCATAGCCCCTACATGCAACCCAAAAATAAAACAACAAAGACGAAGAGATGAAAACTGATATAAAACCCTCAGAGCCACCCTTTTCAAATTTTCCAGAGACCGTTTATATATTCCTCCAGTTTCTACTAACATTCTCTCAGGAATTTTCTGCAACATTTTTTGACCAACACAATCTTATTTCTAGTGCTGTAACTAAAGAACTCCCAAGTACTATTTCTAGAACACCAGTTTTCAAAACACTCTCCTTTATATTATTCATTGACTTGACACACTGAGCAAAGGACAACTAAGAAATTGCCTGTCACAATAGCAGGACCTAGACAGAATCCAGTCCTTGTGGAAGCGTGGTCTAACATTCTTCTGCATTTCTCTAGTATGAATTAAATGAGCAATCGTATATCACACTGCATGAGCATCTCTTAGAAAATGCAAATATACACATATATGTTCAACATATTATTTTATTTGGTTTTGGTTTGGGGGCAACACACAGCAGTGCTCAGGAATTACTTCTGGCTCTGATCTCAGGGATCACTCCTGGTGGGCACGGGGGACCATATGGTGTGCCTGGGATAGAACCTGGGTTGGCCGCATGAAAGGCAAATGTCCTACACATTATACCATTGCTCCAACCCCAATACGTTTATTTTTGCAGATATATTAAAAAATGGGAGAAAGGAACAGACTTGTTAAACACTGTTGCTATTCTAGGGAATAAAATTTAGAGAGGTGAACAGATTGTAAATTTTTCTACTTTTACTTGATATATTTGGCACAGCTTAACATTTTTTTTTAATGGGGACGTTGCATCACACATGGCTGTGCTCAAGGCTCAGTCCTGGCTCTATGCTCAAGGATCACTTCTGATGAGCTCAGAAGGCCATGTGATTGAACCTGGGTAGGTCACATTAAAGCAAGCAACACTCCCCACTACTTTCATTCTGATCCGGCACCACTTAACCTTTAATAGCAAATCTCTATTATGTTATTAGTAAAAATTTAGGAATTACTTCTGGCTCTGATCTCAGGGATCAGGTTACAACAGAGAGCACAATCTTAGCAAGTTCTCTATCTCTGCCGTCCCCCTTCATTCAATAATTCACAATCTACCACATTCATATAAAGGCATACCATGCAGCCATTAAATCAATATACCTATTGGGACTCACTCAGGAAGAAGTCCAAAAGTCTTGTTAAGTAGAAAAATTAGTTGTAAAATGGTATGAATATCAACATCCATTTGGGTAAAATTAAGTTTTTTAATGTTCCATGACAGCAAGATCATAGTCAGCTGTTTAGTACTTTTTTTTATTTTGGGTCACACCCAGTGGTGCACATGGGTTCCTCCTGGCTCATGCACTATCTCAGCCATCCCCCTTCAAGCACCGCCTGGGGGACCATATGGGATGCTGGGAATCAAACTCAGGTTGGTCCCATGCAAGGCAAATGCCCTACCCACTGTGCTATTGCTCTAGCCCGTTTAGTATGTTTTGTGGTGCCAGAGATGAATCTACAGCCTCACCCATGCAAGACAAATGTTGTACGTTCCTGGTCCCTTATCAGTTTTCTTCACTGTGATATCCCCAGCACCCAAGAGTACCTAAAAAAATTACCACTGAATATACTTCTACTTATGTTTGAAAATCTAGGTGACTATAAAAGAGGTTGTTTATAGAGGGATTAGCTTCAGCATATATTAAAATTTCTAATAACAATTTAATAATTGTTAATAATGGTTTCTGATACACGTAACTCCAACACCATATCCATCACTACTGTACCTCCCTCCCTCCCCCAAGGAACCTAATGCCCTTCCCTGTAAGGCCTCCTCCCCCAAACCAACTCAATTGTATGAACCAGATCTCCCATATGCTGCCTTCTTACATTTGTTGCTACATTACTGTGTATCTAAAACTACCAAATATGAAAGAGAACATTCTGTATCTATTCCATTCTTCCTAACTTCACACAGTATATATCCTCTAGTTCCATCCATGTTCCTGCAAGTTGCATAATTTTGCTCTTTCTTAGAGTCGTATAGTATTCTGTTGTCTATATATACACTACATTTTTTTTCTGGTTTCTTTTTTTTTTCAAACATTTTTTATTGAATCAATGTGAGATATACCCTTACAAAGCTGTTCATGATTGGATTTCGGTCATACAGTATTCCAACACCCATTCTCCAATAGTGTACATTTCCCACCACAAGCATCCCCAGGTTCCCTCCCATCACCCCCCTCTCCCTCCACCCCCTGCCTGCCTCTATAACAGGCACTTTTCTTCTCTCTCTCTCTCTCTCCCCCCCCCCCCCTTCCTCCCTATCTCCCCCCCCCCCCCACCGCCCCACTTTTGGTCATTGTGGTTTGCAATACTAATACTGAAGTTATCAAGAATATCCCTTTACCTACTTTTAACCCTCAGATCTTGTCCATCATGATAATTCCTAGTTATTATTGTCATAATGGGGTCTCTTCTCTATCTTACCTACTCTCAGCCCCACACACACATTAGCTATTCTTCCTAATCCCTGCCATGAATATTATTCTTCTACTATATATTTTTATATACCAAAAATGAATGCAGTCTTTCTGTATCTGCCTCTCTCCTTCTGACTCATTTCACTCAGCATGATACTCTCCATGTTCATCCATTTGTAGGCAAATTTTACGACTTCACTTTTCCTAACAGCTGCATAGTATTCCATTGTATAGATGTGCCATAGTTTCTTTATCCATTCGTCTATTCTTGAGCACTCAGATTGTTTACAGATTCTGGCTACGGTGAATCTGATGCAATGAACATAGGAATGCAGATGGTGTTTCTGTTGTGTTTTGGGGACCCCAGGGTATATTCCCAGAAGTGGTATTGCTGGGTCAAATGGGAACTGAATTTTTAGTTTTCTGAGAAATGTCCATATTGTTTTCCAAAAAGGCTGCACCAACTGGCATCCCCACCAACAGTGAAGGAGAGTCCCTTTCTCTCCATATCCACGACAACACTGATTGCTTTTGTTCTTTCGGATGTATATACACTACTTCTTGACCCAGTCATCCATATTTGGACATATGAGTTGTTCCCGTATCTTGACTTTTGTACTAAGTGTGGCAATGAACATAGGTGTGCATATATATTCAAATAAGTGTATTTGGGGGACAGATGCCAAGATGTGGTATCCCTGAATCATATGGGAATTCTATTCTTATGTTTTTGAGAGATCTCCATATTGCTTTCCATAGAGACTGAACCAGATGACATTCCTGCCAATAGTGGATAAGGGTTCTTTTCTCACCCACAATCCAGTCAACAGTTTTCAAACTTTTAATAGATCTCATTGTTGTTTTGATTTGCATTCTTTAACCATAAGTGACAATAAGCACGTTTTCATATTTCTGTTGGTCATCCATATGTCTTCGTTGGGAAGGTATCTGTTCATTTCCTCTCCCCATTTGTGGATGAGGTTGTTGAATTTTTTGAAGAGTTTTGTGAGAGTTTATAGACCTTGGCAATCAACCCTTTAACTGATACATTGCATGCAAATATTTCTCCCACTTGGTAGAGTGTCTTGAGTACAGCTTGAGTTTCTTTTACTGTGCAGAAGATTTTTTAATTTGTAGTTCCATTTGTTATTTTTGTTTTTCTTGCCTTTACCACTGTGGTCATCTTGTTGAAGACTCCTCTGCGAACAATTTCCTAGAAAGTTCTACCAATATTTTCTTCAATGTTTCTCATGGGTTCTGGTCTAATCTCAAGATCATTGATCCATTTGGAGTTTACTTTTGTGACTGTGTAAGGCAGGTTTCTAATTTCACTTTTGTATATGTGGCTATCCAGTTTTCCCAACATGTTTGTGGTAGAGATTTTCTTTGCTTCATATATTTAGCTTCTTTGTCCCTTAGGGGCTTAACTCAGGACTGCCAATTCTGTTCCACTGGTCTGCAGGTCTATCTTAATTCCAGTACTATGCACCTTTGTTAATAGCTTCATAGTATAATTCAAAGTTGGGAAACACAATGCCTCCATCTCCCCACCATCCCACCCCAACTTAAAAGCACTTTGGCTAGTTGTGGAATTTTATGGCTCCATACAAATTGCAGTAGAGTTTGTTCCGTGTCTTAAAAAAAAAAAATGGAGTTTTAATGGTTATTTTTTTTATTAAGAAATTTTTTAATAGTGAGACATCATGAGGTACAGTTGCAGACTTACACATTTTTGTGCTTGGGTTTCAATTCTACAATGATCAAACACCCATCCCTCCACCAGTGCCCATTTTCCACCGCCATGGGTCCCAGTATCCCTCCCACCCCCCATCCCACCCTGTCTCTGTGGCAGGGCATTCCCCTCTGTTCTCTCTTTCCTTTTGGGTGTTGTGGTTTGCAAAAGAAACATTGAGTGGCAACCATGTTTGGTCTATAGTCTACTTTCAGCATGCTTCTACCATCCTGGGAGGATCCTCCCAACACCTTTACTTGGTGTTCCCCTCTTTATCTGAGCTCCCTTTTCCCCTAGTATGTGTGGTTGGCCTCCAAATCATGGAGTAAAATTCCTGGTACTAATCTCGGCCATTCTTGGGTGTTAGTTTCCTATTTTGTTACTTTATGTTCCCCAGATAATGCAATTTTTCTATGTCTATCCCTTTCTTTCTGAGTCATTTCGCTTAACATAATACTTTCCATGTAGTACACTTGTATGTAAATTTTGTGACT